TTTATACACACACACATGCACTTTTAGTTTAACAGCCTGAGGAAGAAAAAATAGTATCACCAACTTTCACTTGAGTGCAAACTTCGTACCTACAGGATTTAAACAGATGTGTGTGTTTATAACTTTAAAGATGCACATATGTAACACATTCCACAGTGTATTTATTTGCACAGTTGATTTGACTAAAAGACCCTGTATTTACATCTTTTAATTGTGTTATGTGAGACAGTGCTACATGCGTTGTTTATGTATCTGACATTTATGATTGAAAACCAAATGGCTCGTGGAAGTTAGTTCTTCATAGGTTTTGAAAGTATTCCAGACCCAAAAATTAATTGCTGCCAAGAAAGGCATGGGTGGGGGTGGGGTACTGCACGTCAGTTAATTCCAAAACACTTAATGACAATCAAAAGTAAAAAATAAAAAATAAAGCCCCCTGCTCTACACAAATCACAAAACTTAAGACTAGCTTTTCCCCTTCGGGGAAAGAAAGAAGCCCTCTGTTTCTACTACTGTTCACATGTGATATTTGAAAGAGGTTGAGCACAGGGTAAGGATGGGGAGGTGGGCAGACCTCTCCGGAGCCCGCATCCAACACTTCTCAATGAGGATTCCAGAAGGCCCAGCCTGTAAATGCCTATATTGTCTTCCTTCTCCGCAGCCACGGCCAGCCGAACATTTTGCTTGGTCTGTCCACAAAAGTTTTCTTCTTGCATCCAAGAGTTCAGGTCTTAAAACCCACTCTGTTTGGAAAATTCTAAAGTCAGAAAGGATGTGGTCTGACGTGTTGACGTGTTTAGCCACATAGGGAACACACAACTCAGAGAAATGAAGTGGCACATTTATCAAGTCTCGGTGTGAGCTTCTCAAGTTGGGGATCTGGTATAGATTGGTTAGAGCTGCACTGGCCAGCGCTCACTGAGCATCTCCGTCCACTGGACATGTGTGCGTTTTTTATTGCCCTCCTGAAGTACGCAAGTGCCACTCCCCTTTGGCACAGCTTATTAATGCCACTGACAATTCTGCTACTTCCCCCTTCTCTTTATCAATAACTCAGGCTTATGAATCCAATAAATATCTGTCTAGACTTAAATTATACATCGGTGGATTCTCTCATTTTTCCCTCTTAGTTTTCCACAGCACTGGGGCAAGTTATCATACACCACGTGAGATGGGCTCGTACACAGAATAGTGCCTCTAGGGGAGTGCTGGGAGCATCTCTTAGGTCATACCAAGTCCTTCTAGAAATACACACTGTGCTTACTAATCTTCAAATATGGAAAGTAGAGGCTCTCTCAGAAATTACAATCACTCTCTGTTTTAAATTCCAATGGACATGGAAACAAACAAGGCTAAGGAATTTTCAGTTCCCCTCTGCTGAGCTGCACAAAGTGGCTGGTTAGCTTGATGGACGGAGAGAAGGGAGAGTTGGCTGTACTTTGTCTCCACCCCTAACTCGATCTTGAGCATATTTATTCCAGTAAAATCAGGTTAAAATAATCATGAAAGGCAGCCTGAAGGAGGCTTAAGATGACCAGGAGAGGGTGCACGCACATGAACTTCAGGCCTCCCCTAGCACCTGCTGGCAGACCCGCCACTTGCTCCTCAAACACAGCCCAGAATGTGCACCCCAGCCCCAGCCTGGACCATGGGCGATGCTCCACGGGGCATCCACTATCACACAGCCGTGGCTGTGTGCTCTCAACATCTAGGGAAGCCAGTAGCCAAACTCTGATTTCTCTTGTAAAGTCAAAATACAGAATGGGCACCCCCAAAATGGAGAGGGAGAAGAGGCATTCAGAAGGTTGTATCAAATGGGCCAATTTCAGGAATCATGGAAAGACAGAGACAGAAGTCGGTGAAGGGGCAGGGGTGAATGCTGTGAGGGAAAAATGGTATTTTCTCACCCTCCTTTCCTTGTCCCTCCTTCTCTGTCTCTCTCCCCCCGTTAAAGATGGGGTTTGCAAAGACATAGACTTGTCTCCATGTAGCAGATAATATGGAGATGCCCATGTAGAGGAAAGGGGACATAGGGAAGCCCGCCCCACGTCCCCATTACATATGAACACCACCACCACCACCACCATAGATTCCTACTATGGAAGTTTATTTTCCCTACACCTTTAAGGAAAAGGGGGGACGTTTTCTCTAAAATAAAATTTTAAATCTGGGGGAAAGATAATTTTCCATATTTTTGGAGGGCTACATCTCAGCTTGTAAGCAGTGTTTATGATGAGCCCTTTATCCTGAAGGGCTCATCAAGCTAAAAGGCTTGTGGAAGGACGTGTCTAATGTTACTCTGTCTTTCTCAAGCTATCCGTGTCTCATGGTCGGCCCACGGGTTACACATGAAGCGCTCCCTCTCCTACCGCTTTGAATGCGCTGCTGATCTGTTTGAGTCAAAACAATCAGGTCCTCTCTCTCTCTCTCTCTGCCACCTGGAAGGAGGAGGATCAGTCAGAGTTCTCTTCACACCTGTCCTATTTGAGAGTTTCCACTTTAATTCTCATGCCTTCACTGTCTCATCCAGATTGCAAATAACTTCCTTCTTTTTCAACTTGGACGTCAGCATCTTTCGCTCTCTTTGCTGCCCCTCCCCCCCATCGCATGTAGCACGAGTCTGCTGTTACTCACAACGCCAGAGACAGCGCCAGAAGATTCGCCTGCAGAGCCCCCTGTCCTGTGGGTCCCTGATTCCATGGGCGGGCACCCCCAGGTCCTGGAGATGCACTGTGGGGGCTGCGGGGGAAGATACCACATACCCGATCCTACCCTTGGAGTTCTACACCATGCTCTTGTCCAGGCCAAAGGTCCTGAGACTTCTCCCTGCTTCGTGTCTATAGAGCGACACTGCACAAACTTATTTTAGAACCCCAACTTCAGAGTCATGCTTTCTACCATTTTGCAGAAGTGCTGTTCTGAGGGGCTTGTGTCAGGAGATGTCACTGGTCCACGTGGTGAGTCTGTCCCAGGGTGGGATCCAAGTGCTTGTATGTATGGACCTGGGCTTCAGGAAATGGGCTCCCTCTCCAGCCCACCCCCACCTTGTCTTCACCCCGCAAGCGTACAGCAGTTCCTGGTAATGCCCAAGTCGCAGAGCTGGAGTGACCAGCCCTGGAAGCCCAACCCTAACTACCGAAAGAAGTTCCTCTTGTCTGCCTTCAAGTGGCAAGGACGGATGGCTATACTATAAAATTCTTTCTCCCCTTGTTCTTTGATAAGAAGAACATCTAATTTTTGGCTGGACATGTTGGGATTCTGAGTAAAACTGCCATTCTCAGCCTCCACTGTGGTGTGCAACCTCAAGAAGGGCTATGTTTAAACATCAAGAACTGTGTCTAAAGGGAGGGGGCATGCCCATCTTTCTCTCTTTCCCTTCTCTGCTTCTGGAAAGATGTGATGGCAGGAGCTGGAGCAACCATCTTGTGTCACATGGTAGAAGCCACATTCTCCACAAGGTGGAAAGAGTCTGACATTGTAGAAGAGCCACCGACATTACAGAACGAGATACCAGCTCCAGACTGGCACATCTGTTCATCCCTTATATGAATAATAATAGAGCTTTTTATGAGGCCACTGTTACATTGAGGTTTCTGCCACCTCAGCAGAATCTATTCCTAACGCATTTGGCCCCTCTCTTCAGCTAAGCCCTCAGATCTCTCCAAGGAAAACTAAAGGCCCAAATTATTTCCTCAAACAACCCCTCAGGATGTCATTTCGACTGGGAACAAGTTAGCATCAGGGTGACCCACTGGAGTGTGTCTCCTGGTGACTTTCTGCCTCCTCTATCGGGACCTTCTCTCACCCAAGACCTTTCACCAGGAGAGCAGGAAGTGGTAGTTGACTGGATAATCATGCACCGTGATGAGCACATCAGCCGCCCCAGCCTGGGTGGTCTAGTCCAAGTGCCCACCTGTTTTCTTACTCTTGGCCCCAGGTAATTGTTCCTGGAGTTGCCAAACTCTTTGGTGTTATATGTTCATTTGGCTGTGTTCCCATTTACTGTTAGTGTCTTCCCCACGTGAACCATCCAACTTGTTCATTAGTATATAGGCACCATCCATCCTGATGGCTTCCATGTGATGGGGTTCAACCTCAACATCACACCACATCTAAGTTAACAGACACTCCAACCCACTGCTCTGACCCTGCCAGTCCATTCCAGGTTTGAATCCATAGTGCCAAGGCTAGTAATTCAAAAGAAGGCAAGGCCCGCCTGGGTGGCTCATTCAGTTAAGGGTCCGACTTCGGCTCAGGTCATGATCTTGCAGTTTGTGAGTTCAAGCCCCGCATTGGGCTCTGTGCTAACATCTCAGAGCCTGGAGCCTGCTTCGGATTCTGTGTCTTCCTCTCTCCCTGTTCCTCCCCTGCTCACACTCTGCCTGCTTTTCTCTCTCTCAAAAATAAGTAAACATTTAAAAAATAAACTAAATGGATAAAAACCCTAATGACAGAATACTGAGTGAGCACTCTGACACACAAGATATTTGAATAAGAAAGTGGTGTTGGAACCAGTATTTCTGGATGGTGGAATCAACTAGTCTCTTCGAGTTTGTTGCCAATGAACAGGTTTTCAGGAAAAAAACAATGCACCTGTACAAAGGCTTAGAAAAATCATAAGTACAACTACATATGCTTTGACTCTATGCCAGTGACTGGTACGTGGCGGCCGCATCTACCTGAGGAAAGAGAAGGAGGTGAGGAAGCAGGAAGGGGAGAAGAGGGCAATAAAATCTGACCCATAATCTTTTTTTTACATGCATCTAGCATGCAGCCTGGTGGCTAAAAACAGGTATTTTATCTGTCCATGCCTACGGGGGGAGGGGCAGAACAAGGAGCATAGATATCGATTTCATTGCCACTAGCACCATTATCCTAAATTTTGAAATAGTTGAGTGTACAAAAAGCATCATGTTGTGTGCTCTTTATTGGATGCATAGACCTATGTTTGTAGAAAGTTTTAATGGTTGCAAAGACAAATTGCAAAAATAATTCACTTTTTTAGAGATCGTGATACATCATCCTGCATTCTAATAAAATTTTCAATACTGGCTGTAATACAGGTGGTAATACTGTTTCCCATGGGATCCAGTGATTAAAACTCCTTTCTAACGTCCTAAAGTTAAGGTTAATGCACCAAAAAGCTGTAATTCACTGACATTTAATACTGGTTCGTGCAGATGAAAATTTTGGTAGCAGATGGAGGCTGTTGAGAAAGTTTTCTTTAAGCTTTGGAGTCCAGGCAGTTCATAGTATGTTTTCTCCCCATGCCCTTGGATCAGTGTGGTTCTGACACCTTCCTCACAGATACACAACGATTCTGGAAAGACAACAACAAAGTCGTGGAAATAATGGTATTATTGTTGAAGGGAGCCTTCAAGAGGTAATACTCTAACCAGAAATGAAACTTGAACTCTTTGAACTGAATTTTTCAGGAAAGCACTTCCAAACTCTTGAAAGGAAAACATCAAAGTTTGAAGGGCAGATATGAAAAAGACTCCCCCTCTTACACCAAAGTGACACAAATTCAACCTGACACACGTTTATGGTGAGTTTTGTGCGTCAGCGAAGATGAAACGGGAAAAGGCACGTGCTCGTCCTCAAGGAACGTATTACAATGATCTTCCAGCTGGCTGAGACCTTTGTTCCTGAATTATTGTTCCATTCTGTCCTCCGCCTACTCAGAAAGGACTGGGTGGTACTTGATTTTTAAAGGTGCTCTCTTAAGGTGCACAACCTCTCTCAAGATAATAGGAAACAAATTGTAACTATTACGAGAAGGCATATTTTTTCGCGGATCAGTTTGGCAAGACCAAGACGTTTAAAAATAGAACATGTTGGTAAGGGCGTGAGGTAATGGAAACTCTCATACATTTCTGGTGCAGGTGGAGAGAGGGATGGCCTCTACAGAAAACAACTCAGTGATATTTACCCAAAATTTCAATGAATATACAGTCGATCCAGCAACTCCACTTCTAGAAAGGTATCGCCCTTTACAAGTACTTTGCTCATTTGTGAAATGATGTATGTGAGATATACTTAGAGCACCACGGTTAAAACAAGAAGAGATTAAAAGCAACCTAAATGTCTATCAATAGGGGATACTTCAATAGGTACACCCGTTAAGTGCATAATAAAAAGCTGTAATGGCTGAGGAAGCGTGGTATGAGCTCAGATGGAATCAGAGGCAGATATGTCAAGGAGGACAAAACAGGGCATCAGAAGGGTGCACGGTATATGTGTGGTGTTGTACGTCTGGCACAGGTGCATCAAATCTGCCCAGGGAACCAGGGGGCTTGGTCGCCAACAGTCTCGTTCACAAAACTCATCCCTCTGAGAACCCCAACTCTGTCTTGATTCCATGAAAACCCCGCCTATCTCTGGGGGGTTGTGAAAACCAAATGTTCCTGGCTGATACTTCAGATCTACATGCGGTTCTTGGTCACCCTTTTGCGCCCCCCCCAAAGAGCCCCCGACACCCTGTGAGCGGCTGCCGTTGGTGCCCCTGGCGGCTGCTCCACTGTCCAGCCAGCTTTCAGCTTACAGAGACAAGACGGAGCACAAGCAGGCTTTGGAAGGGCCTGGGATTCAGGGTCTGGCCGCATCTGAAAATCTGCTGGACCAGCGGGTTTGGGTGTTTGTCGTTAGGAAGTAAACAGCTTGCAAGGAGGAAGGTCTGTGCTCTCGGCTCCAGCCAGAGAACCGAAGAAGACCCCGATGGGAAGCTGTGGACCTCATCTCCCCATTTCTCCCTGACCGCAAAGTGGTTCCAGCACCGTTAGAGCTGAAGCAGGCCTGGCAGCTTCTCAAATCTTCAGAAACTCCAATAATAAGTGTCTAAAGTGGTCTGAGTGGTAGAGGGTGGGCTCCCCAGGAATCAGCCTGCCCCAGTGCCTTTGCGGGAAACAGACACCAAAAAGGGCCCTGAGAGGGAACCCATGGGAAACAACCACACGTAAGATCACGAAGCTGGGACAGGCGGGCACAGGTGCTCCTGCCATGCAGCCCGAAGCAGTAAGGTTCAAGAGCAAGAGAAGCCTAAGGAAATTTGGATTACAAAAGCAAACAGACTGCCTGCTCCAACCTGTAGGAGTCAAGGATACTGAAAACTGGACCAAAAGTCTTCTATCCTTCAAGAGGACGCCTCCTGGGGCACCTGGGCAGCTCAGTCGGTTAAGCATCTGACTTTGGCTCAGGTCATGATCTCACAGTTGGTGAGTTTGAGCCCCACATCAGGCTCTCTACAGAGCCCGCTTTGGAGCCTCTATCTCCCTGTCTCTCTGCCCCTCCTGTGCTCACACAGCTTTCTATCTCTGTCTCTCAAAAATAAACATTAAAAAAAAGAAGAAGAAGAAGGACGGCTCCTAAGATGTCAGGCATGTAGATCACACTCTTCTTCATGCATTCCTTCCCCACCAAGTCCAGTCCTGCCGAAGAGGTGGTTTGCAGGGACCGGTGAAATGCCAGCCCTCCCCTGTGTCAGCTGCTCCTAAAAACATTTTCTTTTCTTGGCTACAGACACCTATCAGGATGTACCCGAGAGCCTCTGTCTACTATGCCAACAGAGTATAACGCTTACAAGAGGAAATAAATCTGATTACCTAAAGCAGAAGCCAAAACCAGAAGTAGGCTGCAGCTTCCAGCGGTGAAGCAAGGCTGGTTTTATGCAACAGACATTCTAGACGCTTAACAGAAAGTGAGAAGTCACTGCAGACGACTTCTCTAGGCTCCAGACTGGTCTCTCTGTTCATCTCTTCTCTGCCCCAGGCAGTCCCCATCTCTGCAGTAGGGTTTCCTTTCCCCAAAGCCCACTTTGACTGTTAATACAATAAAGAGGTTCTCCAGACATCACCTATGTTCCAAACTCTCAGCTTGGCTTTCAGAATTGTCTGAGTTGAAGCAGTATTTCCAGGACTATCTCCAGCTAAAGTCAAGGCAAGCAGGTTGACCCGTCTGTTCTCCAACCCCCTTCCATCTCTGTACTTATTGCCTGGCACCCACCCTACACTCACCATCATTTATCAACATCTTGCCGTCTTTCAAAATCCAACTCAATGCCACTTCCTCCAGGAAAACTTCCTAATTCTCCCAGCCTTAAGTGCTCTCAAGTTCTTCTGAACTTCTGCAGGCCCTAGATCCTTGTTCTCAGATGGCTTTGTACTATAGTCGCTTTCCAAATGGGCTATGTTCTCCCTAGGAGTTAGCGCTTTTGTGGATTTTCTGGTATCTCTCAGTACTCAGCATTACATTTCACATGTAATGTTGACTCGCAACATTTAGATTAGAAGAAGTCTGCCTTGAATTGCATCCCCCCCACCAAATCATTATGTTGAAACCCCTAACCCCCAGTATGATGGTATCTGGAGGTGGGGCTTTGGGGAGATAATTACATTCAGATGAAATGGTGAAGACAGGGCTCTCATGATTGTATGAGTGCCCTTACCAGAAAAGAGACATGTTTTGTTTTTGTCTGTTATCCATTTGGCCAATTTTTGTCTTTTGTTTGGAGAGTGTAGTCCTTTTGCTTTTAAAGTAATTAATATAAGGAAGAACTTTTGCTATATTGTTTCCTGTTTTCTGCCTTTTTTGTCTCTCATTTTCGCCATTGCTGCTTCTCTGTGTATGAAGTCGATTTTTTTGTAGTGAGCCCGATTCCCTTCTCATTTCTCGTTGTGTGTATCTGCTAAATGCTTTCTTTAGAGTTACCATGGGGATTACAGTTAGCATCCTAAATTTGTAACAATCTAGTTTGAGCTGATACCAGCTTCACTTCGGCAGGGTACAAAGTCCTTACCACCCCCTCCCCCGTAAAGCTTTGTTCTCCCCTTGTGTTACTGATGGCCCAAAATAGCTGTCTATATATTGTGTGCCCCGTAACATGCATAGTTACCATTATTTTGTATGCATTTGCGCATTTGCCTCTTAACTTATGCAAGACATAAAAAGTGGAGTTACAAAACAAAACAAAAACAAAACTCTCTCTTCAAACTGCTCTCTCTCTCCCTCTCTCTCTCTCTCTCTCTCTCTCTCTGCTGTGTATGGACACAGAGAAGCCAACCGTCTGGAGCCTGGAGAACTCTGACCTGAACCCAGCCACACTGGCACCCTGGTGTCAGACATCTAACTTCCAGAACTGTAAGAAAATAAATTCCTGTTGCCTAAGCCACACAGTCTATGGTATTTTGTTAGGGCAGCCTGGGCTAGCTGAGACAGGGCCTTAAGACGTCCTCTGAGCCAGCCTTTTTATTTTACACGGTGATCCAAAGGGACACAGAGCAGAGCAGGGGTCAAAACCCAGCCGCACCCCCCCCAACCTCTAGCCCATGCTTCTAGCAAGTATAACAAGCTTGCCAGATATCACAGAATGAATGAAAAGGCCCAAAGCAATAAGTATATTTTTCTTAAACATGTCTATACCTTTAAACTCTTTTTATCAAAACTTTGAAATAACAAACTGAAGGTCCAAAGGGGCCTCCAGCAAGGTCTGAAATTGAGAATTGGGCTTACGAAACTGCCAGGGAGGAGGAGAGGAAAGGGAGGGCTGCCTCTTTGGTTATAACAATATTATAATCACAGAGCTGTGAATTATGCAAAGGAGAGCACAGGGCAGGACTCACCACCTCACGAGATGTCTTGTACCAGTGCACAAACTAAAGAATTTCAGGGCTTGGCTTTCTGCTTCTGGCACTACAGTACACGCATCCACATTACAGCTCACAGAGGACTTCCACGTAGATGGTCTCGTGTAATCTAGGCCATGGCCAGTGCAGGAACGAGCATCTCTGTGGAGCTGATCACCTCCTAGAGCCTTAGTTTACATAAGTGACCAGAGTATAGTCACACAGCTGCTGAGTGTTGGACCTGAGACTGGAATACTCTCTCTCTCTCTCTCTCTCTCTCTTCCCCCCTCTGTGTGTGTGTGTGTGTGTGAGAGAGAGAGAGAGAGAGAGAGGGAGAAGAGAGTTGGGATGGGCTTGACCCCACTTCACTATACACTCCAGGACTACGTTCCAAGAAGTCCATGAACATTCTCCATTAGCTAGTAGCTGAAAGAAAACCAAACTTCTATTGAGGGACCTGAGTTACAGCCCCCGTTCTGTCACCAATTCACAGTTGACCAAGGCAAATTACTTAGTCTCTCTAGTTCCCAGTTTCTTCACCATGAAAGAAGTGTGTTGAATAGCTTTGTCTTTGATTCCCTTTCAATTCAGACAGTCGGTGATTTTCAGAATTAAACAGGTTTAGATAAAAGAGCAGGCCAACTCACTTCCAAAAAATTCTGATCCCTGGACCGGGTGCCCAGGAGGAAGACATTATTCA